CAATTTTTATGCAATTATACTTGTTTATAAATATTTAATGTAATTATATTATTTTATAAAATATTATAAATTAAATACCCAAGGGGCTTACGCCCCATGCCTTGGGGCTTAGGCCTCGCTGAGGCATATGCAAAACGTCTCGCCTGACGCTCACGCCTTTTAAAACACTGATAATTTGTAACCTAGTAGCAAGGCTGGTCAGTTATTATATAGGTTAAAATATATTTATAACATACTATTGGTGTATACAAACTTAGTTCCTTTCACATTTGTTACTTTCACGGCTCTGAAAATTGTAATTTCCCTTTAATTTTCTTTCTAACATATTAGTAATTTTTTTAATAATTCCTAATTAATTTATTTTCCTTAATGAAAATGCAGGCGAAAGCAATAATATATCTCGCAAGTAGAGAAATGGAGGAGAATACAAAGACTTCATCACCAATTTCAGAGGCATCATCACCATTGTTACAAACTCAAACTGGTCTTTCCATGAAGAGATCTTTGCAAGGATTTCTGCAAAAGAGAAAGAATAGAATTCAAGCAACTTCTCCATATCATCACTAGCTACTAACAATTACTAATAATATTTGATGATCTTTTATTTCTTTTTTCTTTCATTTTTTTCCTTCTTCTAGTGTGGTTAAACCTTTTTTTCATGTCATTACTTTTTGGTTCTCTAGGCCCGACTAATTTAGATTTGCGGCTCGAAGACCCGCCTGATGACATGCTCTAGATATGTAAATTAGTACTTTCATACAAATATGATGAATATTAGCTTGAGATGAATTTAAATTTGGAGTATGATAAGTAAGGATTCATATAGTCAATCTCTTACTCATTTTGGAGGAATGCGTGATTATTTTTGTTGTATACAGTTATTATGGATGAATTAGGCAATATTTTGCTAATATATGTTTGTTATATCCTTTTTTCTTTCTATTTGATTTTTTCATAAGAAAATACACTAGAGTTACCCGAAAAATAAAGTAGCGGAAAAAGGAAAATACAAATTGTAGGCATCTATTGTTTAATATTTATTTAAAATAATAAAAAGAGATTTGTCAAAATGAGTTTTTAATAGTCAATAAAATTTTAAATAAAGCAAAGATATTTGTGTTTAATATTTTTTAAAAAATTAAAGCTTTATTTGTTAGTATTATTTATTTAAAAAGTACCAATATGATGTGTCATTATTCTAAATATGGGGTTTTTTTATTAGATTAACGAATATGACTTGGCTAATTGATCTGTGAGCTTTGATTTTATAATTTTCATTAATAATATTTCATTTGTCATGGTTAAGAACGTCAACTTGAGATTTTTTCATAGTAATGTTACTAAAAAATTTAATAATACTACCTATATATCTTGAAAATTTACGTTAATGGAAAATTAAATGTACGAATATATTCTAACAATAATAAATAAAATAAAATAAAATAGCTAATTTTAATTATAAGTAAATTACCTAGGAAAAAATATAGTATAAAGTATATAATATAGAAGGTAGTACATAAATGGAAGGATTTATAATAACAATGGCATTATAGACTTTTCGGGTAAAAGTTTTATAAAATCTGGTCAAAGTGACTATTGTAAGAACTAGAGAATAGTAAAATAATTTTTGTGTAAAAAAAGAAAGAAAAGTAACTTTTGGATAATGAACACAAAGCTGAATAATAAAATCTATTCAATGAAAAAGGGTGTCTATTTATAGATGACAAATTTTAAAAGTTAATTGTGTTATTTAAGTATGCCTGCACTAATTTCTAGTTATCGATCTGATTGTTGTATGAATTTTGTATAAGTAAATCTATTCGAAACATAAGGTAAAGTAAAATTTTAAAATTATATTAGTTTTTAATATATAAAAGTATCATTAGTTTTAGAATTGACTAAAAACGAATCAGTCACATTAATTAAGACGGAGAGTACATTATCGTGTAAGTAGCGTAATTATCTACAGGATTATTGCCTATCTTAATCATGAAATAATTTAAAGGTCATTCTTGAAAGGTGCACCTGGTGGGGCTTCTATGACCACCAAAGCAAATCATAGTTTTCATTAAAGTTATATTAATTGTCTGATTTCATAGTTAGCTGATACACATCTAAACTAAAATATAAACCATGTTTTTTTTTTAAAAAAAAAAAACACATAACGCATGTGTTCAATCTGTAATAAGTCGGTAATAGACCAACAGTCGGCTTTCTTGATAATCGTCCCTGTAGTAAGGAATTCTTTTTTTTTCTTTTTGGTCCTTAATGGTTCAGATAATTGAACGGAAGTCTTGACGCAACTGGTAAAGTTGTTGACATGTGACCGGCCAGGAGGTTATGGGTCCGAGCCGTGAAAACAGTCTATTGCAGAAATGTAGGGTAAAGTTGAGTTCAATAGATCCTTGTGGTCCAGTCCTTCCCCGTACCCCGCATTGCGGAAGCTTAATGCATCGGACTACCCTAGAGGTTAAGATAATTGATGAATTCATTCCAATTTAAACAAAAAGTATGTATGCGATCCAATAAGTTTCGATTGTCCAATAAGTTTGAAATTGTTATAAAATAAAGATTGTAAAGTAAATAAATCGAAGACAAGTATAGAGAGAAATTGATATTTTTATTCAACTTCAAATTGATGTACATAATGAACTGAAAACCCCTATATTTATAGAAGAAAGGAAGCAGATGCAAGACTTTTCAGGAAGCATTAGCGAGGCTTTTCAGGAAGCAGCTGCGAGGCTTTTCTTGAGCTGCTTGTAAGTTGTCTGCATGAGCTGCTTGCAACTTGCATGTTTAATAAGAAGCTGCTGCAAATCATTTCATTGAGTTACTTGCAACCTGCCTGCATCAGCTTCTTGTAGATAAACTTCAATAGAATACCAAATGGATAATTTTTTTCAGGAAGATTATCGATAGCGGAGTAATAAATGCACATCCACATTATAATTATTTTCATAACACTCCCCCTTGTATGTTCATTAAAAGATATTGTGCCTCGTTAAAACTTACTAGGAAAAACCCAGTGAAAAAAATCCTAGTGAAGGAAAAAGTGTACACATATTTAGTAATACACAATTCTAGCTGCCTCATTAAAAACCTTACAAGAAAAACTCCATGGAAAAAACCTTAGTAAGGAAAAAAGAGTACATCGCGTATTTCACTCCCCTGATGAAAACCTTATTCCAAATATTTGAGTCTCCGCATACCAATCTTGTATACCATCTTCTCAAAAGTTGAAGTTGGCAAAGATTTAGTGGACAAATCTGCTGTATTGTCACTTGAATGGATTTGTTGCACATCGATGTCACCATTTTTCTGAAGATCATGTGCGTAGAATAATTTTGGTGAAATGTGCTTCGTTCTATCTTCTTTTATAAATCCTCTCTTTAATTAGGTTATGCACGCAACATTATTTTCATATAATATTGTGGTTTTTTTTTTATCACATTCCAACCCATATTTTTCTCGAATAAAATGAATCACTGATCTCAATCATACGCATTCCCTACTTGCTTCATGAATAACTATTATCTCAGCATGATTTGAAGAAGTAACAGCAATAGATTGCTTTGTGAAGCGCCATGATATGACAATACCTCGGCATGTAAACACATACCCAATTTGAGATCGAACTTCATGGGGATCAGATAAATAACCTGCATCTGCATAACCAATATGATTTGCACCACCTTTGTTAGCATTAGCAAGATACATAAGTGCACCAATTGCACTGAGATAGAGTATTTCAGGACAAGGGGTTCCTTATCCTCTTCCGGAGGTCAGAACAGATCCTTATTCACTTCAAGTGATCGAACATCCATTTGGTGTACTTAATGGGTGCGCTTTATCCATGTAAAAGCGTTTTAAGATATTTTCTGTATAGACAGATTGATGGATAAAGATCATGTATGCTAAATATTCAATTTGCAGACTAAGACAAAGTTTTTCCCTTTGGAGCTCTTCTGGAGTTCCTTTGAGATTTATGTCATTAACATAAACAGCAAGTATAACAAACTCTGATGTTGTTTTCTTTGTAAAAATGCATGGACAAATGCCATCATTTATATAACCTTCATTCATCAATTCAGTGAGGCGATTATACCACATGCGCCCTGATTGTTTTAAATCATACAAAGATTTTTGTAATCTGATTGAGTACATTTCTCGAGACTTTGAATTATATGCTTCAAGCATTTTAAATCTTTTAGGGATCTTTATATAAATTTGATCAAATGAGTCATATAGGTTATGACTTGCATTTAAATGGCATGACATCTTCAGGTTTCTGGACTACAGGTCCGATCCTCACAATATTGTGCACTATATTATATTAAATATATCGTCAACGATCATTTTGTATCGGTTCGCAAGTGACATAACTCGTTGAGATCTCATCACTTTCTTTATTTTCAGGTACCTGAACTTCTTCTGGAGTTTCATGAAATGTTACGTCGTGGGCTCTTTTAGAGCTCATTTCCTCCTCATTATGATCATTTGCTCCTATCCTTTTCAAGGATTGTTACCTTTGGAACCGATCGGTTTACTACGCTTCATGCGTGCAATAAACTTTATCCTTCAGGGACTTTAATTTTAATAGGAGCATTTGCAGCTGAAATATGATATTTAATTTTGGATCAGCAAATGCTTCTGGTATTTGACTTGAATTATGTTCTAAGTGAGGATCATATTAATGATAATTCGATTCAAGTAGCATATTTTTCAGCTATTATTCCATCCCTCAAATGTTAGAAAAACTAACTCATATCCCCAATCTTCTTTGGAAAACCTATCTTTGTGCATTGTGGTAGAGAAATTAATCATATACCACACATCAAAATTTATTAGATAGTAAAAATATTTTGTTTCTGATCCTAAACCAATTGTGAGGGGAGGACTTATCATATTTTGTTGGTCTGATGCATACAAGTGTTGTTGTATGCAATTTAGAAAATCTTAGACCAACACATGAGGCTTTGTTCTCATAATAAATAGTTTAGCCATTAATAGGAGGTATTCAATGCTAAACTAGCTTGGATATAAACCAGCATCATCAAGATGAACTATCTTAATTTCATAATCTGAAAATTATGCTCTTGATTGAGAAAGGCAATTTCAAATGCCAAACTGCAGGTTGACAATAAACACACATATAACCATCTCATATATACATCTATAAGTGGTTCACATGATAGGTGAATGGGCCCATATTCACCTTTTATATATTTTAGAATTCAGAGGTTTTAGTCCCAACTTTATCTGGTATAATCAATTTATTATGAGAACAAGCAACACGAGAGAATTATTGAAGAATCTTCAAGTTCTTCAGTATTGTCACGACCCGAAATTCCCACTGTCGGGACCGTGATGGCGCCTAACATTCCACTTGCTAGGCAAGCCGACGTTAGAGAATTATTAAGCCAATCCTTATTTAATTAAATAAATAACAGCAAATAAGCTAAAATGAAATACAGCGAGTGCAGAATAATATAAAAACTTCATTAATTACTACCACCCGGATCTGGAGTCACAACTCACGAGCTACTATGATTTACTACAAATAGAGTCTCAAAAGGGAAAATACACTATTTGAAGTAAGGAAACAATAAATGATAAAACTAGGAAGAGACTCTAGGGTCTGCGGACGCCAACAGATCTACCTTGGGTCTCCTGACAGCAAATCCAAGTTGCTAAGCCTAACGATCAGCTAGGGACGGTACCAAAATCTGCACAAGAAGTGCAGTATCAGTACAACCGACCCCATGTACTGGTAAGTGTCGAGCCTAACCTCGACGAAGT